AATCTTCATCATCTAGAGCACCTAAAGTAATAAGGTTCCTTTTCAAGGCAAGGACATATCTAGTATCCTTTAAAGGTAATGTTTGATTACTTTCAAGTTTTAGTATAATGTTTCCAATTCCTTTCACTCCACAGGACTCATTATTTCCTAGTTTTACAAAACCTTCATTTAGATTTGAAAAATCAGAAAACCAGCTAAGATTTGGACACATATGAAAAGAACAACTTGAATCAAGATCCCAATCTTGTCTTGTTCTTTCATAAGAAGAGACAAAGGCAACACCAATGTTTGCCCCTTCTTCTTTATGAGAAGTAGTATTAGCAAAAGGACCATCACCCTGATTAGACCCATTTCTTTGATCTTTAGCCTTTTTAAAACAATCTTTGATAAGATGTCCAGGTTTGCCACAATAGTAGCACTTCCTATTCTTATCATACCCTTCAATGTTTTTCTTAGATTTGCCCTATTATTTCCCCATTTCTTCTTCTGAAAACTCTTGCTGCGATTAGCCTGACTAAAATTACTAACCCCTTTGGACTTAGTCTTAGGAGTAGGTAAAGAAGTTTCAGCACTAAGTGCTTCTTTATGTTCTGATCTTAACTCAAGTTCCCTATTCTTTAGGAATTATGAATTATATCAACAGTTAGATCATCCCTACCATATTCTAAGGCATTCCTTATATCCTTATATCTATCACCCAGTGCATTAAGGAGACAAACTACCTTTTGATCACTTGAGATTTTCTCACCACAGTTTATAAGGTCTTGTGTGATCTTATTGAACCTATCCATGTTTTCTTCTAAGTCAATACTAGGGTCAAACTTATGGCTGAAGAATTGTTTCCATATAAAACACTTATTTGGTAGGATTTTAGTCAGATGTTGTTCTCCAAGGCTTCCCACAGTTTAGCTGCAGTATCAGTGTCACCTAACTTCCTAATAACAGAATCAGATAAGTGCAAAAATAAGGTACTCCATGCCAATTCATCTTGTTCAGTTCTCCTAGCTTCATTTAAGGTTTCAGGCCAAGACTCATCAATAGATTTCATACATATTAATTGCATTAAAAGTGCTTTTATTTTCTGACGCCAGAGACTAAAGTCTCCTTTGCCATCCCACATAGGAACATCAACTTTGGTGGCCATCGTATGCAGAAGTGTAACAATTATTCTCAAAAATTTCAGAGTCAAGATAAAAAGTATCACACAGATCAATTTATTTTATACAGGGACTCAAGATTTGAAACAAAACAACAGTATACAACAAATTGATAACCTCACATATGTTTATACTCAATAAGCAATGTGAATTCAATACATGCAGTTTACGTATACATTTATCACTTCACAATATGAGACAAAATCAGTATACAGGTATGTAGGTTCAATGAACTAATCCAAAAGGTTCAAGCAGTAGAAAATATCACAGTGATATATGTCAGAAATTATTCTAATTTCACAGTTTGTTTAATATTCAAGAATAAGTCACAAAGACATATAGACTTACGCATAGTAAGCTACCAGTTAAATGAAGGAAACAGATATACATTCGAAGAAGAATAATCTCAGACTAAAGAAATTATAGTTCCTGAATAGACCAACATTCGAGTATCAGTTCAAATAACAGTATATACAGCAGATTCACAGTAGAATAAAAAAAACGTATTTCAAGAATTTTTAAAAAAGGTTAGTTTCTTGAATCCCCAAAGTTTCTAGGGTTCTCTCAGGGACCCATAGATAGAGGTAGAGTTAGGGGAGATTTGAAGAAACCTTAGGTTTTTCAAAAATGTTTAAGTACCAAGATCTCACAAATACTGCAAGTATATAACAGCAGGATACTCAGAAACACCAAGAACCAGCTCCTTTTATTTTTGTTTTGAAAAAGACCCAAAGATTTTCAAGAACAGAAAAGTAAAAAATTCAGATCTGAGATTTTCTTCGAACACAACAGCTCAAACATAGTTCGTATAAAAGATTTTCCAAATGCTCTGATACCATTGTAGGTCCCAGATACAGAAACTTCCTATGTAAAAACGATTTTGGTTTATAAACAGAAAGTAAAAATCGTAAAAATAAGAACACAAGATTTTTTGGCCGTAGCCCCGAAGTTCGGCGACCGCTGCTAACGCCTAATCCCTGTTGAGCATCCCTAAGGATTTAGCTCGAATCCACTAAGAAAGCCCTTAAAATGGGCAAGAATCTTACAGATCTGAACCACAAAGGTTCGACACAAATAACCTCTCAAACTCTGATCTCTCTCTTTAGAAAACACTCACAAAGAATACATTACACTCAGTACACCATAATCTCACAAAGAGATTACATAGATCATCAAGAAGATGAATTTATAGAGAGAATTTCAGAGTAAAAACACGAAGAAGACGAGAGGAATATCAAAAATACGATCTACCTAAACCCTAGAATGAAAAATCTATTTAAATGGAATACGATCAATCAGCTGATCTAACGGTCCAGATTACACCAAGTGTCAGCCATCCATTTAAAACGCACCAATGCTCAAAAATAAAACACGCTTTCAACCATTCCAGAATCTTCATTTAATTGGATCGAATGACCCGGTTTACTTGGGTTGGCAAAACTGGACCATAAGTAATAAATGGGCTAAAAATGTAGCAACCCATTTACAAATATTTAGGAAGTTTTGATTAATTCTAAAGTAACAATTCAAGATAAAAATATTTGTTAAGAACTATGTAAATTATTCCTTGTGTTTTAAAGAATACAGGCACAATTAATATATTCAAGAAAGGACTTGATTGAACATATTTTATAGGTAGAATCAATATTTTAAAAGGCATGAAAAACATGAAATTTATGTGGACCTACATTTGAAGAAAGCTCCCCGCATATGAAGAATGCCTGAAAAAGACGATCAATACTATTTAACTGTTTGTAAAGCGGGTTTAGTCGATAAAATGAGTGACTAGGCACCAAAAGGTGTGACTTATGTGAGTTTAGGAGAAAAACTACTGAAAGTAGTAATGACCTTCCCTTTTGTAGTATCTGTCCTTTCTAGTCCGATACAATTCCATTACGCTACCCAATAGATGCTTGCCTTTCATTATTTTATTTTTAACTTTTTCAAGTTAAATTATTTGATTAAATAAAATGAATTATTAATAACCTTAAAATAATCAAAATAATATAAAGATAAAGAAATCCTACTTATGCCTAGAGTCGTAAGGGTTGAATTTCGACCTTACCGTCTTGTAGCACTTATATGCATTTAAAAATCTTTACTAGAATTGAAATAACTTCAGGAAATATTTTCAATCCTAACACGACTTGTTAACTTCATAAATTGATATTATAATCAAACAATATATATACCAATAATAATAATAATAATAATAATCGTTGACTCCAAAAATGTGCTAGTAGGTGTCAATCTTAGTTGACGTCTACGTAAGCAGATTTTCGGTAGGCTTTATATGGATATTTAATCGGAGATTCGAAGACCGATTACGTACGTAAATATAGGTGTGATGTCTTCACAATCGAGAACAATCAAGAAATAAAAAGGATGGCTTGAATGAGCATTCATTGAGAGGAAGTAATAATGTATGTTTATATGTATATTTTTTTGCATCTTTTACAACGTTACAAAAACTGCTATTTATCGTGTCTCAACCGAGCTGGCCACCGTTGGTTCAGATCCACGTGGTCCCATCTAATTGATTGAAGTGTTACATCTCCTTGTCTCACATTAATTACATTGACAAGTACATTTGATAAGGGGTTAGCCTCCCCACATTCTTAGACTGACATATATGACATCTATTGATGCAAAAGTTACATCAACCATTCCTAAAAATACACTCATCAAACCTGCTCTAAAGAATACAATAACTTCGATCGCGAAGGACAAGAGGGAGCCTCAGACATGAAGGGGTTCTCCTTAAGGGATGGGAGCACTTCGACAACGGAGCTTTGATGGAATAGTGCCTTGACTAAGAAGGTAATTCTTGCATTCTTCTTTATTGTTAAATTGATTGCCACGTGTGTGAGCGTGGCGCCTCCACCTGGCCTCCATTGGAAGCTTCAAATATGATCAATTACAACAACAACAACAACAATAATATACTTTATTTTTGTTTTATTTTCATCTAGACTATATTAATGTTTGTTTGGGATTTAAATCATTCTATCTCAAAACTGTTTTTAACTACGCATTTTATAAGATCTATAAAAATTTTCTTACTTTATAATTACACATTCTTCAATTTTTTTCTTTTATCGCTTGAAAATACCTCCCCAACTAAACGCTTAAATTTAATGAAAGGGTAATGAATCTCACAAAATATGGGGATAATATGTGTGTAACAGTTGTGAAATGTGTATTAAATGTGAATGTGTAGATTAAAGTTTTAAAGTTTGACGGTAAATTGTAAGTTATTTGAGATTTGTTTGACGCAATAATTGTGAGTAGAGCTTTTAACAGTAAAACTTTTGTTAATAGAGCCCTTTTTTCTGTACAACTTTTTTGATCAAAAAGTATTTTTTAATTTCAACTAAATACACAATATTTTAAACAAAAGCGTTTTGACGTTCTACCAATGCTTTCCGACTTCGAAAAAGCCCTTCAGAATACATCCTTATAATGTTTCCCAAACAAAGGATTAATTATAAAGTACATATCATATTGGATATTGGATAACTAATACATAATTAGATAAAAAAATTATTTTACATAATGGAATATTATGAATATTTTTTCACAACTATCTTATTATAACACCGTTTCTGTTATTGTTTTAATTCTTGACAGACAATTTTGACATAAAATATTTACGGACAACATTTGACAAACATTCATTGAAAGATGAAAAAAATAAAAAAAAGGCGACTCGGATTTTGCCACATCAAAAATTTCTCATACTTGTGGTCTTTTCCAATTACATATTAGTGGAAGGTAGAAAAGTGCAATAATTAGGAAATCTGCACATGAAATAGGTGAAAATCCAGAAGGTTGCACACTCCCACACCCACCAAAGCCAAATTTGTACGAACGGACGGTCCAACTCAAATTCTCAAAATCTGCCTTTGCAAAAGAGAGTTCTTCCACCGACCAACATGGAATTACCAAGTGGCGATTCGGTGTCACCTGAGTGTTAAAGTAGCAAAACTGTGCAAACGAATAGCACGCAAACACTCTTAATATTACCCATTCCCACTCTGCATCTTCTCAACACCGAACTTCAAAGATTTATCAAGGAAGAAGCCTTTTCTCGGTTTCTCTTAGACCCTCTGGCGCTTGCTGTATCAGAAATCTTGATTTTGATACCCTTCACTTTGTGAGCGAAACCCATTTCTTAAGTTTCTATACGAGACTTTCTTTTTGTTGTTTTTTCTTTCTCTTTTTTGATTTCAATGCAATTCATCAAAATTTTTCTTTCTCTTCATTTGCCTTATCTGGTGATTTTGCGGATACCCTTTTGGTTGTCGTCTTAAAAATCGAATCTTTATTCATTTTCGAAACTAAAAAATTGGATGATTTTCTCTTGAAATCAATTTAATTTATGGGTTCTTGGATGTTAATATAGGCGTAGATACGGATTGACATATACATATACGTTTTTGTTTTGTGAAGCGACAAGTGGTAGATGCGAAGGGGAAATTGGTAAGGTGAGATGAACTCAGCGTTTAGTGAACAGATACTTGCAGACAAGCTCTCAAAGCTTAACAGCACTCAGCAGTGCATTGAAAGTATCCTCCACTGTTTTGCTTGTATATTTGATGAATTCCTTATATTTTGGTGGAAAATTGTTGCTAAGCATTTTTCGTTTTCATTCTCTTGTCTGTCAAAGAAAAAGACCCGGCGGATCTGATTCTCTCTTTGTGATTTTTCTGGTTCTTGGCTGGGTAAGTGGTTGAATTGAATGATATACATTATGTGTCTGTTATACTGCTTTCCTTGAGGTTGTTTGCTATCTCATTGTTTATAATTAGTGAAACTGGATGGCTTGTTTCGGCATTCCATGTTGCTGTTGATCCTTCCTTTTCTTTTTTGATCCTTTGATGGTTTTCTATAATTAGATGGCCCTAGGGTTTTACTTGCATCTCTCTTGATCACGTGTAGGCTTAAAAACGAAAGTCTTGGAGTTCTGGATTTAACATGGGAAAACTTAAGGAAGAAATGGCAGTCTACCTAAGTACACACGAACTTTTGTCTGTGATGTGTTTATAATATTAGGACCTTTTATCCAGTTTCCAAAAATCTATTTTTTTTTTTTTTTTTTTTTTTGCCAGTTTAATACTATTAATCAAATGATGAACAAGTAGGTAGTAATACGCTATCTTCCCTCCCTAATTACATCATTTTTTTACTTGTTGAGGTATAATAGTTTTACCTGATTAGTTATTCACATATCTTATTGACATGCTTGAAATATATATTTCTACTTTATTAGCATGTGTACTGGTATCTCTTGGATGTGTTTGCTAATAGGTTCAATTAGTTGTTTATTTCTCCTTTTCCATTCTATATGGCTAGTTTTATCACAATACCGTAAGAATGATTGCACTGAAGATTTGCTTGCATAGGGGTTTATGATGCATCATTTAATTGAGCAACACAGTTTGCCGTTAGGTTTGTAGTGCTACACTACTACTTTATTCTGGAACAAAATAAGCATAAATTTGTATCTTATATGATCACAAACGTATTAGCAATTTGATATAATCACTTCTTGAATGGTTCTAACTGCACGCACCTTGTTTCTAGTTTCTACTACTTAATTTTTAGTTATTTTTTTGGCATGCTTTGTTACCTTAACTTTAACCATAGCATTGTCGCACTGGTGCATTTTTCATCAAAGTAATTCAGAGAAGGTTGTTGCAACATGGGACAAACAATTCCATAGTTCAGAGATGGCTAAGAAAGTACCTCTTTTGTACGTTGCAAATGATATTCTGCAGAACAGCAAGCGCAATGGAAATGAATTCATCATTGAGTTTTGGAAGGTTCTTCCTGCAGCACTCAAGGAAGTTGTGAAGGAAGGCAATGATCGTGAGAAGAATGTGGTATCCAGATTGGTAAGCTATTTTCTGGTCATTATTAAGGGGGTGTTTGAGCCATATTATTTTGGTAATAGTACATTCTTGAATAGTGTATTGATGGGAAATGTGTGGTTAAAAAATAAGGAAATCTTTTTGATTTGCGTGTAATATTATTTTATTGAAGGATGTGTGGTTGAAATGATGTCAAATCATTGTTTAAGAATGCATTTTTTTTTGGAATAATGTGGCTCAAACAGGCACTAAGATTGTGATTCTTGATTGGTTAGTTGAAATTTCTTGACCAGTATTATCATCATATTGATAGGTTAAGATTTGGGAAGAAAGGAGAGTTTTTGGATCTCTCAATCAAAGCCTTGAAGATGTTATGCTTGGAGAAGAAATGCCTCCACCTTTAGAGTTTGGGAAAAAACGTTCCCGTCCTGTCAGCATAGTTAAAAATGACTCACGATCTATAAAAAGGGTAGGATTCCGCCCCTGTTGTCTTTTTATGGGATTATAATTAATCTCTGTAACTTAGTCTAATTCCATAATATTTATATTAATTACCAACATCATATGGTTCTTATTCCTCATATATTTTTGTCTGAAACCAGAAATTGACTATTGGAGGAACAGCAGAAAAAATACTTTCAGCTTTCCACTTGGTGCGCAGTGAACATACTACTGAAGATGAAGAAATGAATAAATGCAAGTCTGCAGTTAATCGTGTGAAGAAACTTGAAAAGGACGTCCGCATGGTCTTAAAAAAAGGTAGGCTGGTATTTGGACAAGTTACGTCTTCCATGTAGGCTCGTAAGTACTTGCTTAGTATTGTAAAGGTTAATACTTAGGAACTTCTCACTGAAGGAGAAGAAAAATAAAATTTGCTGAAGAGCATTGATAATAATCTTTTAGCAGTCTTCTCGTTGTTTCCTGAGGTTATTCATGGTTTAAACACATGATGTTCTTTTTCTTTTATTATCAAAACTTGTCGTATTTGTTGTGCAGCTAAGGATTCATCATGGAACACCTTAGCTAAAAAAATTGAAGACGAACAGAATCTTTTGAATGAGAGCATTGAGAAACTTGAAGTTGTTGAATCAAATAGATTGGCCCTTGTATCTCAGTTACAAGATGCGCTTCATGAGCAGGTATATGATAGATTCTTTTCAAGAATTACTTTCTATATATTTGCAGAACTCGAAGATTTGGGTTGATATTCAAGATATCTTGCGGTTGATTCTTTGATTTTCAGGAATCTGAACTGGAGAATGTTCGGACACAGATGCAGGTATGTACCATGATGAATATTTATCTGTAAGAGCCCCTATTCTATGATGAATATCCAGCTGTAAGAATCTCTATTCTAGATTCTCCCATGTCCTATTTCTTTGGAGTAAAAGGATCATGCCTATGTTCTATTTCTTTGGAGTAAAAGGATCATGCCTATGTTCCCCTTGTTCTGTTTTTGTTGTGTGCTACAATGATAAGTTTGAAAACCATGCCCACATGTCTATTATTCACTCATGTCTATTAATGCAGTTGTGTGCATTGTGTTTCCTACTATGCCTTCGGTATGCAATGACTTTAAGGAAGACAGTACTTTGAGTTGGAATATTAGTAAATTCATTTTTAAAAGGAACACGATGTATGCACAATGGGGGAAAACTGCAGCATTATGCTAGGACCCCAGCTGTATTTGTTGCACAATATCAGAATAGAAATGAAATGTTGTATTTTATTGATGAATCTGAGAAAAACTACAATACTAGAAGAGAAAACGCATAGCTATTTGGGAGGGCCAGTCTCCCCACACTCTCTACTACTCAATTTTCTCTCCCTTTCCCAGATCCCCCCCTCTCACATTTGTTGGCATCCTATCTCACCATATATCCCACAATACCCCTGCCGCTAATTGAATACGTCTACTGAATCTGCTTCTCTATTCTACCGGATCCTTCTAGGGTATGTAGGCTTGATAGGAGTCTATCATTACTCGTCCCCCGGAATTCACCTTGTCCTCAAGTTGAAAATTTGGACCAATTCCAGTTACGATAAGAGCAGAGAAGGGATATTTCAACCTTAAAAATTTGGTGGACCGATTAACTACGAGTAGTATATTGTCCATGAAAACCCATAATCGGTCGTAGCCCTTCTCGAATTTTCTAGAAAATGAAACCAATGGATCAGAGGAATATTGTGGAAGGTACCATAATTGATTAACTCCGCGACTCCCTTTGCTTGTGCAACTATCGAATTAATTTACAACCCTAACGTATCAACAACCTCCACACCTTTGATGGTACTAAAAATCCTTCCACTTTTTGTAGCCACCTTCCCATCCAAATTTATTATCATTGATTTCTCAAACTATTTCTTCTGTCTCATTGTTTGGCAGTAAAGTCCTATGGCCCCTCTGATTAAATTCATTCCGACCCACTTTGGAAGGCACCAAATACCTTATGAACAAACGAGGAATATCCCAGAAAATCCCTTTTTTGAACTTCCAATTGATTACTCCCTTCTTTCCTTGTTTCAGCAAAACCTGCAGCTCCTTGTTTCGACAATGATGACCTTGAATGTATTCCTCATCATCTCGATAACAAGCCTCTTTTTCCCTCCTGCTCTGTAACTCAATGTCTGTCAATGTTTTAAAGGGATGTCCTTTTGTCGTGGCCAGAATGAACATGGAGGTGGTGGTGGATTTGGTGTTGATTGGGTTGGTTTGATGTGGTGCCTGGTGGGTTACGTGTATGGACAGGGAAATAGGGGAATTGTGGGCTTGGGTTATAGGTAATACCCCAGGGCCAGAATGGTTGCTCTGATACCATTTTTTAAGAACCTGAAAATTGTCGCTAGAATTTCTGTTGATGGAATGATGGGTGCAGCTCTGAGATGCCTTGCAATCTGGAGATCAAGGACCGGCTAGACACAATTTAGTAACTGGGAAATTGATGTAGTCTAGGTGAGAAAAAGTGGAGTAATAAATTGTCATTGAATTGCTAAAAGTGCAAAGAACTGATGTTGAAATGAAAACAGCAATTAAATGACACTTTTGAGAGGCCTGGAGCTCTCCTAATTGGCTCAACCATGCAATATTTTCCTCCCTATTGCATTCTACCTTTTTTGTTTTTAAGTATTTTGTAACCAAATCTAACAGAACTTGTTATTATTAACTGCTTCTCAATTCTTTTGGGTCCTTCTAGAGCTTGATAGGAGTTTATCACATTAGTCCTCGACTCGTTCACTTAGTAGAAAATTGGTCCCAATCTAATTTTTATTTTTATTGTTTTACTCCCCAACCTATCATTTATTTGACTCCATAGTTCCCCAATTGATAGATAATTAACTGTAAAAATTCAACATTCTTATAAAAAGATGATCCTAACCTTATTATCTGTGTTCACTAGGGTAATGTGCCTGTGTTCGCACATTGCTGATACGTGCACTTCTTGAATTATGGTCATTTTTCTTTCTTTATGAGAAATATTGTATCCTTTTAACTCAAATTTATTATTAAATAAGTAGGTACTCATATTTAAAATATTTTGAAAAGAAATATTAATAACAAGTATAAAACTAATTTTATGCTATATAATTGAAGAATTTTAAAGAATTTAATCAACATGCATTTGAGTACGTTTTTGAATAATCCGTGTCGGCGTGTCCGATGCACAACGTGTCGAATACATGTGTCCGTGTCTGTGCTCATAGTTTATTCTCAATTTCTATAAGACATAAATAAAAATAAAACTAACAGAAAAGGGAGACAATCGGCCAATTTTTGCACATTTGCACCACCAGAGGCTTAAAAATGAACTGTGGCTTTCTAAACATTGGACCAAATCCTTCTTTGATATTCAGAACAAAAAAAAAAAGAAAAAAGAAATCCATTCTCTATCCTCGTCATTTGGCTCTTGGCTTCCCTCAGACCACCACAAATCGTGAAAGGGAACTCCAGAAACACTGATACGAGCACCGTCAACATCAACAAACCCTAAATGGCATTGCTCCTATTCTTCCTTCATCCCAAAGAATGCATTCCACAACCAAAGCCCTTCTCCGAACCCTTTTGCTTATCAATAAGTGCCCTGTCGTTGGGTGGTGCTGCCGCCACTATTTTATTGATATGTTATACCATTATTATTATACTTTTTCTGGATATCTCGTTTGTAGGATGACTTAAACCAATCGGTTTAATTTCGGATGATATTTCATTATTGCTTATAGAGCCGACGATCTGGTGACGGTGGATGCTGGTGAACACCTTGTATGAGTCTCTGCTGGCTAATGTTGGTGAAGCTGCCACCGTATAGGAGAACCTGCTGCTGATAAGTGGGTTTAGTTGGTTGGGGGATGGCATTAGTCAGCAGCGGTTGGAAAGTTGGAATGGATGGCGATTAACCTTTTAGCGCAAGTGTAATGACATTTTTGTCCCTAAAAAATGACACCTGACACATGCATGTATACTTGACATCTGTCAATTGGGGGACCCTGGTGCTGCAGAAATGATAGATTAGTGGAATTAAATGCCAAAAAAAGAAAAAAGATTGGGAACCTGTTAGCTAGTAAGTGAATAGGCTGGTAATGCTGCAATTTTTCCCTGCAGAATGGAGATAATAGATAAATGGACTTTGATCAGTTTTAACATTATGCTAATGTGTTTTTTTTATTTTTATTTATTTTTTATTATCAAATTAATTTCAGGTAGCACAGGCACAGGCGGACAAAGGTGCAAAAATGCTGAAATATTTGGATGGAGATGCAAATGCATCAATTGTATCATCGGATGCCAATACAAAACCTGCAGCACAAATGATGAGAAAATCTGCTGCATCTATTGCTGCTGAGGTTGCAGATAGGCTTGCAGCTTCAAGCTCCTCTCGGTATATTATGACATCTGTCCTCTCCACATTTGCAGCCGAAGAAGCCAAAAATGCTGGGCTGATGAATTCTTCAACATCATCTGCTTCTTTCTCATCCAGGGTTAGTAGTCCAATACTGAAACCCGAAAACCATCTGCCTGTTTCAGATTTAAATGTTTTCATGCCAGCACTACAACTCAATTATCCCCAAAATAACGCTTATCAGTCCCTGATGGTGACTCCGCCTACAATACAAGGTCAAATTTCAAATTCTAAGGTTCAGTATCATTCCATCCCTAATCTACCACAGCAATATATGCTGCCATCAGGTGTAATAGTGGGTTCATATGATTATGGTAGTCTTCCTCCTTTGCCACCTGGACCATCACCTCCTGCACCTCCACCCTATATGGTGAACCCAATGGTGCCTTTGGTCCAGCAACCACTTGTAATGGGCCAACAGCCACCCACATTCTCTCACCAGCAGCTGGGCCCATTACCTCAGCAACCACCTTCAGCTCCTAATTTTAGTCTTCTACCTCCCATGCAGGCTCCTGAGATGGTGTACAATGGCCCCCCTTATCAATCACAGTGAAAAATTTTAGATGACAGCCGCTATCGAAAGGGCAGACAATATACTGAAGAGTTCAAATTTTTGTTTGTGGAAATGGTTGTTTTAGATACATAGGTTTAGTGGTTAATCCTATCAAATAGAGATTGGTATGAATAGCATTTAATCTATCCACTGGGAAAGAGCAGTGACCTCTATCGCAGTTGTCTGTTGTCTCTTTCTCAGTTATGATAGACCAGTATGATGATGAATCAGAATGAGTTGGCAATTTTGTATTTTCTGCTCAAGCTAAGCTAAAATGATTAGCTTTTCTCCCTGAAGATCATTCTGGAGCCCTGCATTTCTTTGAAGGCTTTGAATGAATATGTGAACTGTTGAGGGGAGCATCTGCTTAATTTTATATTGTGTAGTTTTTGCTAGTGATTGTTATCAGTTTTTCCCTTTCAAAATGCTAACAAGTGATGCAGCCTTCCTCTTTCTGGTTGATAAAATTTTGTTAATTTGACTAAAATATATCGGCCTGAATAACAGGGGATTTATCTAACGCGAGTTTATTTAGCTTGAATTTGTTTTGGTTTTCTATGATTAATACTGTGCAATATGTTCTGATTTTTTCAATGCAACTTGTTAAAGGTGTTAATGGTTCCATGTCTAGTCCTGGAAGATGAATGCTTCCGCTAATTAACTTCATTGTTTCTTGTAGAAATAGATCACTGGCTTGAAGTTAATAACCACAGAAATAGCAAGAACAGAATTTGGCTTGACAAAGGTTCTGTATTTCTTAGGTATTCTAATTTTTTTGTTTTAAGGATGAAATCAGTCTTAAAATCAATTTTATTGTGCTTCTAGCCTCAGACTTGTCAACGGAAGGGATTATGGAGATTACCTTTCCATAATTAGTGTATATATGTAATTACTGTTTAATATACGATGTAATTAGACATACTATAGATAGAGTCAAAACTATAGCTATAATTACTAGAATTGAATCTTGATTTATATTTAATTTTCTATACAATGAAAAAGATCCTCAGGAGGAGAGCATTTACCCAAATCTTGACATGGTATTAGAGCTCTCGAAGAAATTTTTTGATTTTTCGGTATTTCGAGTCATTGAGGATTAAATTTTGATCTAGTGACTAATTTTATTCAAGTCTTGGAGTTGGCGGTATCTGCTTGCCTCTCAGTTTGACGGCAATTAGTTCTGGGGCTGTTGACATTTTTGTTTAGTGAGGGTTGTTGAAAATCTTTTACAGAGGAGGTGAACCAATTCGGCGATATTGGCTTCATCTGGTTGATCGATTTGGCTATTAACTTCTAGATTGTCGGCGTCTCTACCGTGGACTTCCAGAAATTCTGTTTGGAGGTCTGGAATTCTGGTGCGGTGAGCATGGACAAATCTGCATTCTGTTCTGCGATCTGTGTTCTTGGGTGATGGCTGCGCTATCGGGATTTGTTTGGTGAGACAATATTATAAAGAATATTATTATGTTTAGCTTCCAATTTTAATTCGTATTTTAAGAAATATAATTAGGTTTAATTTAGTTGCTTTTATTAGATATTTTCCTTCTTAAAATAGAATATTTCAAACTATATATAAAGGGCTCTTTTGCATTGTAATAAGACAACCTTTGATTATGAAATAAATTGAATTTCTCCCCATCTCCTTATCTCTTCCCCTCTTCCTTTCTCATCTTCTCTCCCCTTCCTCTTCTCCTATAATTCTAGTGTCTCATCGTGTGTCATTTGGTCTGTCAGGCATTTGGTATCGTGAATTTCTGTTTTGGGTAGTGAATTATTTCATTAGGCGTTGGGTTGTTGCACATTTGATTTGGGCTGTTTTCTTTTAGTTGTGTTGTGGGCTTGCTTGTTGGGTTATTGACTATAAGACAACTTTTGATTATGAAATAAATTGAATTTCTCCCCATATAAAGGGTTCTTTTGCATTGTAATAAGACAACCTTTGATTAAGAAATAAATTGAATTTCTCCCCATCTCCTTATCTCTTTCCTCCCTCCCTTTCTCATCTTCTCTCCCCTTCCTCTTCTCCTATAATTCTAGTGTCTTATCCTGCGTCATTTGGCCTGTCAGGCATTTGGTATCGTGAATTTCTGTTTTGGGTAGTGAATTATTTCATTAGGCATTGGGTTGTTGCACATTTGATTTGGGCTGTTTTCTTTTAGTTGTGTTGTGGGCTTGCTTGTTGGGCTATTGACTGTCTTTCATCTGTGGCTGATTTTGGTGGACAGTCTTTTAAGGCTGAATTCTGTTGGGTCATTCCTGAATTTGAAGGAGCACTTTGGGCCTTATTGGTTTATGGGCTCTCGTATTGCTGATTTTATTGAAGTATTTCTGTTGGGCCTATTTTATTTGTCAACTTTTTTTGGAGTATTTCTTTTAGGCCTATTTTTATTTCTCAGAATGTCTACTGAAACCTATTTTGCTAAGTTTACAAGTAAGAATTCTGCAGTGTGGGCATTTTAATTTCATATGTTCCTTAAAGGCAAAGAACTTTGGGGTCACATTGATGGAACCTCTTTGGCTCCTACAGATAGTAATAAAGAGCGAAGTCAATGGAGGGCAAAATATGCTTGCATTATTTCTTGGATTTTGGGATCAATTGAGCCTCACTACGTTGTCAAGTTTTGTAACTTAATAATGGAGTTAGGATGTTGAGCTCACATGAATTGATATTTAATTTCCACCAAGTACTATAATTGTTTTAGCCTCTATTTTATCTAAATGAATGAATGTTTAGATCAATGTTTCTAACTAAATCTAATATAATGATTGTGATGACGAATTCAACAATATTATGTAAATTTGAAGGAATAAATCAATATGAGAAAGCTTAGGGTATGATTTCATCTCACTATCAACAATGTTTCTCAATTATATAGTTATCTCTAATTAATTTTTTTCAAGTTTATAAGCAAGAAACCTAATTTAATTCTTTTTTTTAAAGATCATGAGTGTCCGGGCCAGCTCATGCGCACCTCGACTAATTCCACGGGGTCCTGAAATTTACAGTTGGGTACTCACATTAGTGGTTTTGAGGAGACTCAAACTGATGACCATTGGGGAGCAAATCCAAGGCCTGACCACTGAGTTACCCCTCAAAGTTGAAATCTAATTTAATTCTTCTCCATCTCTCGAGTGTCGAGTAAAAACTATTTCTATACTTCAATTCCAATATTTTTATTCTAAATTAAAATTTAGAAATTATTAAGTTTGTGGTTCTTAGGTGGAACAAGCTCTAAAGATTTTATACTTTCTCTTGGAACCTATAAAATTTAGGTTGTGTTATTCTTAGATAGAGCTTAATTTCTCTTTCTCGCGTGTCGAAATTGACTAGTATCAAATTATTTAATTATTGATCATGCAATTAAAAACATTAAACCAATGACAATAATAAAGGGAATGAAAAATTTCATAGAAATAACTAAATAAAAGCAAAATATAATATCAAGTTTGGCTACATCAAACCTTAGATTAGAAGTTTAGAATATGATAGGAAACATGGAAACCATCAAATTTATGAAGAACATAGGGAGAAAAGAGAGAAACTAGTATTGTAGAGATTCAATCTTCTTCTCTTTGTTGACATTAACTCCTTGCTTATTGCCTTCTTTGCTTTGTTGAATTCTCCCCTTAAAATTGGTCTTTACGGTTGTATTTATAGTTTTGCAAAGTTCCAAGAAGAGTTGGAGTCGAATTGGGTTCTTTTCAAATGCCAAAAATAAGAAAACTAGGTCTCATCGACGACGCCCCGAAGCAGCACAGCGGTTTCGCGATGATTATGTTATTGGCACTGCAGCGCTAAACTTTTGTTTCTTCTCCCGTAGCGCCCATGCTATGGTGCTAGGGCGCCCAACCCTTGCTTTTCTCGAGCCTGGGCCCTAGGATGCCCGGGTTCTTTCCTTTTTTCTTGATGACATTGTGGCGCCAAAGGGTTGGTGCTGCTGCTCCGGCAAACTCCTTCGATTCATTGGCTTTCTTTCCTTCTATCACTTAATTTATTTCATCGCCTCATCAACGTCACACTTTTCTCCAACTTTTGTAGCATTCAGGCCACGACATCCAATCCATAAAACAACCATCAAAACACAAAATATCACAATTAAGTAGCATTAATTCATGAATGGAATACACTCATCAATAATCTGCAATAATTATCACAACTAAGGAAATTTGAAATTATTTGAAGCGGGTCTAAAATCAAGATTCAATTCTAGAAATAGTAGTTATTATTTGACTCTATCTATGGTATGTGTAATTACATCGTGTATTAAAACGTTATTATATGTATGCACTAATTATGGAAAGTTAATCTCCATAATCTCTTCCATTATATGACAAAACAAGAAGATGAGCTTATATTCTACTAAACTTGGAATTGGCTCCATGAATCTTCATGATAAACAAATAAGCAATGGGAAAGGATTAGCCCCTGTTTGGCCCCCATTACCTGAAAATGGTAATGGGGGGAATATTATTTTTTAGAAAAATGAGTGGTTGAAAAAGAAAGTAAAGTTTTCGATTTACGTGTAATATTATTTTATAGAAGATTGTATGGTTGAAAATAGGAGAGAGAAAAATGAAATGTAATGTAATGTAATTTAATGTTAATCAAACAGGGGCTTAATGTTCCACCCATTCGATATCGTTTTTGCAATATGTAGTCAAGTCATTTTGGAGTTAGTCAAATTGGATTCATTCAAGTTAGAATATATGCTCTAAGTCAATTTTTTTCTTTGTTTGTCATCATCACACTTTATTATCCATTGTCATATATGAGTTTGAGTTTAGTTTGTGGACAATAGGTTCTTGGTGGATGAACCACCCAAATGGGGGAGTGCCCATAAATAAATGATATTAATGATTAAGTTTAAGGATGGTATGTATGATGAATTTGATTTGTATCTACAATTTTTTACTCTGTGTTTTGCTTTTGGCACCAATATTAATGGAGACTTGCAATTCTCATAGGCATTTTGCTTCAGGAAATGATAAAAGTAGCTTTATTTCTTATGTTGTAGGTTCATCTTTGAAAGCAATCATTTCCAGTTTGGATTTTTTGTGGTGAGTGGTACTTGCTAATATTTCTTTTGGCATTGTACCTTTACTTTGTTTCATGATGTCTCATCAGCACATTTTATGCCTATTCTCCTATGTCAAAAGTTGGATGTAAGTATGCTATACTTCCTAATTAGGAAATAGGTCTGTATTCTACAATATGTACAATTTTCCTATTGAAATGTATTTTCTTGTTTTTCTGGGATTCCAGGGGTGGATTGATACGTGCTGGTCTGTGCTACAACTGGTTGGCGCATTTTAGTTGTTTTAATTATGGAATGAATTTCTCTGGTTAGGATATGCAATCTCTCTTATCACCCTCATTTACATTCTTGGCATACCAGTTTCAGATACTTCATTTTTTTTTTTTGTGCATGAACTTCTTGTAGGCTGCCGTGTTATGCTAATGGTACTAGTTATTTTTTCTGCTTCTTGGGGAGTTGAGGGGGAAAAATGTTTCAATTTCCTTCATGTGACAAGATCTGCACATATGAGATACAAGGAACTTGGTTAATTTCTTGCAGGACTTACATTCTAGAGGTATATTGACATGTAGATGGATTAGCCCTTAATTATGCATGGTATTCTTAGGATGCCGTTAGCTATACTCGATCGATGAGCTTGAGTTTGCTTATTTGAATGCTGACATTACTTACTCTTTACTTATTCTGTTAGTTTGTTAGTGAGTCATAGCAAAAATGAGTTTGCTGATAGTTTCGCAATGGATATCCTCCTTTCAATTGAAGAGCTTGATTGGAGTGGCTTGTTATCCTTTTGAGATTTGGTCAGGTTTTGGCTCCTGCAGTTAATTAAACGGCTCCATGTTCATCTGACAAGCCTTTTGTTTTTTGGGAATGTTGTCTCGATGATATAAGTCATGTCTAGTACAAGGAGATATTTGCATGTCAAATCTTTTCTTTTCAACGGTAACAGCTTGGCATGTAGTATTAAGCTCTCATGGACGCAGATTTCACACAACCTCTCTTGTTTTATGTTATTTTTTCCCCCCTCATTTTCTAATTTGTACTTTATAATGCAAGATTTTAAGGATTGATGGAAACATGAAAAGATCCTTCCAGGAAGTGTTACTATTCCGTTGGAATATGCCGCTGCTTTAGTTATTATATGTTTTACCTCTTTGACACATTAGATAGGTATATTGACTATGTATTAATTTGCAAAAGAACTTTTGTGTTTTGTGCAATTTATCAGTAATGATTTAAGTAACTCCATTCGTCTTCTAAACTAGGTACTTGTTTGGAAAGCATTGGTGGAAGGACACAGAAAGTATAGTTTATCTACTTATTTATTTAAGTATTGACAACATATTTTTTTATTCCTCTTTGTCCATGCTAATGGCTAAATGGGATTCTTCTTGTCTTCTGTCTGTTCATATTTCCTCCTCCTGCTATAACTAAGTTTTGGTACCATTCTTTTTGTTTCAATCTGTTTTTGTTTTAGGTTCTGTTTCTTGCGGGTTCAGACATTGTGGGTGGTTTAAATCGATACAACCTTCCTTTTCCTGGAGGATTTTAAGTCTGGTACTATTTAATGATAACAGTTATAGTGATATTGCAAATTTTTCTTGGTTGTTTCCGTAAGTGGTGACAATTCAGTGACAGTGGGTGGCTGAGCTAAGTCCATTATTGCATTTATTTTGGTCAGAATTATATTTTTTGCAATAGCGTTGGTTAAATTTTCGTTTTTGTGTTTGGAAGAAATCTTCATTAACACTATTGAGTGCTGTCAAACTTTTGTGATTGAACTTGATGGGATGCATGCAATCCTTCTGTAGAAGGCGTCATGATATCTTCTTGTACTTTGTGCTCAGCATCCATATGGTTATACAAATACTGGTCGAGGTTTTTGGAGTTCTCAGTATTGTTATGGGAATTGTGCTTGTCATCATTATTGTATTCTTAAGATTTTACGTAAAATGCTTTTGGATTATTGTCTTCTACTTGATTCGACATATTGTGAAACCCCTCCATTGCGCCTTTAATGTAGCCTCAATTTATCATTGTGGTAGTCACTCGACTTGTTGAGTGTAATAACTCATTTGAAACCTTTACAGATTCTATCTTTATGTTGGCTGGCTGCCTGCCTGCTTCGACATTGCTGAACAATGTGTCCCTGAGCTTGGGACTCGTGATTGATGGCCAATATAGCATCTTCCACGTAAGGTGAGAAAAATTGCTGCTGTTGTCAGGGAAGGAGATAAATTTAATCCAAATAAGGTATTAAATCAGTCCAAATAAGACTTGTCAGCTCAGTCGAAGTATGACTTAATACTATTCTCCGAATTATTTTTTCAATCAAGATGAGTGGTTGATGGATTTTGGCTGCAACAGCCATTTATACATCATTTCACATTCATGCAAGCAGGTGACTTTCTTGAATTCAATGTTTTGAAAGTTATAATGATTTTTTCAGTTGGGCAAATGAATTTTTACTTTTCAATATTGGATTATTCCGTTCATGTTTGTTATTGTAACATACACTACTAACAGTCTTCTGATTTGGAAAAGTATGTTTTTGTATAGGAACAAGTACATGAAAATTAATATTAGATAACATTAAAAATATAATTAGTACAATTACAAAATGGAAAACAAACGTCTCAAATATAATTTTACAATAAAAAGACGAAATAAATATTTATATTACGCACGTGATTTCCATGAAAAAGCACACGAGGCCTTAGCCGAACATGGTGTTTTGAATTAGTTATATTAAAATTCTTGAACAATTAAATAAAGACGTCATACTTCGCCTGCTCAAATATCGTAGGAAATTATTGTGTATTCCAGATTTGTAAGATTTATTTTTTTGTCCTACTTTGTTCGCTTTTCCCTTTCTAAAATTCGAAACAAACTTTGTTTTTTGTTTTGTCTAATGTGTTGGATTTTTTTTTATCCAAATTAGGTTAGGATTTTTTTGGGGAAAATATTTTTTCCTTTACTACACACGTTTTTATTGGATAAATATTATTTCCTTTATTCCACATGTTTTTATTGTAAAAAAAATATTGTTTTCTTTATTCCACATTATTTTTTATTATGTTTTCATCTTTATGGTATTTTTAGGGTTTGGCATGCACCTTATAAATACTACTCTTTTCACAAGTTTTGTATTATTGAAATATCGAATAAATGTGTAGGCATAGTTATTGTATTTTTTCTCTCCATATTCGTCAATTGAATAAAATACTCATTTCCTCTTATTCTTTGTCTTTAATCTTCTTGTTTGTTTGCGATCATATATTTCAGATTGTGTCGTATATATTAGCTCTATCCATTTTATTTCCCAACAAGTGGTATCAGAGCTATTGATTGTGATTGAGGTTTTTGTTATTGATGGCAACCATGAAGTGTAAAATTTCGCACTTGGATCGCAATACAAGATTCTTGTTGTGGCAAGTGATGATGCGAGCCATACTTGCGTAGATGGATTTTGATGATGCATTGTTGGGATTTGACAAAATGCCCACAACTTGGATGATGGAGGGAAACAATAAAAGGATTGGAATGCACTCTCACAAATCCAGCTTCATCTTTTTAATAATATTCTTTAGGATGTTTTGAAGAAGAAAACAGCAATTGCGTTGTGGTCAAAGTTGGAGCAATTGTGTATGGCTAAAAGTCTGCATCTAAAGCAGAGGCTATATGCTTATCGCTTGGCAGAAGGCGGATTTTTGAAAGATCATCTGGCTGTATTCAAGGAGATCGCGCTGATTTGGAGACTTCAGAGGTAAAGTATGATGAAAAAGATTTGGCTTTAATCCTTTTGTGTTTATTGCACGCTTCATTTACTTTGTTTAGAGACACAATCTTGTATAGTCGTGACACTCACCATTGATGATGCGTATGATGCCTTGTTTTCAAAAGAGAAGATGAAGCATTTGGTTAGATCTAAGGCGAACGATGGAGAAGGCCTTGTAGTTCTGATCGGATCGGAGAAGTGGTAAGTCGAGGTCAAATTTCAGTATTTAGGTTTGTTATTATTGCAAAAAGAAATGACACATTAAGTGGAATTGCGACAAATTGCAGAACAAAGGTAATTTGACTGCAAATCATGGGAAGCAATCAAATACTTCAGATGAGACCAACATAGTCGAGAATTATTTGAGTGATGAAGATGTTTTGACAATTTTTGACATGGAATTCAAGCCTGACGAGGGGTGAATTTTGGATAGAGCTTGTGCGTTTCATGTGTTCCAATCGGGATTTGTTTGAAACGTATGAAATGGTGAAACAAGGTGGCATGGATAATAATGAACCTTGTTGGGTAGCTGGTATTAGTAGATTCAGATTGAATCTCGTGAATGGAACATGTAAAACAATTGATCACGTTTGATATATTCTAGACTTGTAGAAGAATCTGATTTTGTTGAGTACTCTTGATTCAAGAGGATACACATTCTCTGAAGGAGGTGGAATCTTGAGGGTTCAAAAGGATATTCGTGTTGTATTGAAGGGATGGAAAAGTTTCCAGTTATACATCTTGCAAGGTCGGACGTAATTTGTGAAGAAAAGTCAGCATATATTTAGAACTATAATAGAGATTCAATTTGGTATTGTACCTTTGGAATTTTGTTTGGAGTCCATATTGAAGAATATTATTCAGTCGAGTTTAGAGAATATGAGTAATTTTACCATCACATGCGGTTTCATCGTATTCAGTTGCTAGAGATAGACCCATTGGAGATAGGTATATGGATGTTGATTCGGTTGCACATGCTTTTAGCATTTTTGATGGTGTTGAGACTCGCTAGGGGCCTTTTATGAAAGCATTGAGAGTTGATTCTGCTGCAGTGTGTGCTTTGACACTTTTTGGTAATTTCTAATTCTTTGTGAATTTTGTAAAACCTTGTGTACGGGGTTATTTATCTGTATTGGATACCGTGGAAGAGGATGAGTATTTTTGTGTTTGAGAAAGTTTGGTTCTTGTTGAAGATTTTGGATTTTTCGTTGCCGTCAGATATATTTTTCAAGACGGAGAAATTTTTGAATTTCGTTCGTTGTATTGGAATTTGTGTCAAGGTGGAGATTGTTGGATTTTTTGACCCAAATTAGGTTAGGATTTTTTTGGGGAAAACATTTTTTCCTTTATTACACGCGCTTTTGTTGGAAAAATATTATTTCATTTATTCCACGCATTTATATTTGAAAAAATATTGTTTCCTTTATTTCACATTATTTTTTTTTATCATGTTTCCATTTTTGTGGTACTTTTAGGATTTGTCATGCGACCTATAAATACTAGACTGTTTTCACAAGTTTTGTATTACTGAAATATAGAATAATCGACTTGGTACTGTTATTATATTTTGTTTTCTCCATATTCTTCAATTGAATAAAAAATTCAATTTCTCTGTCAATTAATTCTTTGCCTTTAATCTTCTTGTTTGTTTAATATCATATATTTCATATCGTGTCAGATATATTACTTTCAGCCGTTTTATTTCCCAACATAATGTGCATTTGGCTTTGTGCACGAGCAATTTGGTTGCCTTCCTTTGTCTGCCATGTCTCACATATCACCTTCGATCGCTTCAATGGCTTCCTTAGGCTTTTTGTTGAGCTCCAGCCAGATGTCTCCCGAACACCCTCTAGCACCAGGTTTCACTATTTTTTGTACGTTTTCCTTTTTATTTTGCTATTCAGAGGTTTGAGTTTTGGTTGAATCTGAAATGCATTGTATTTTTCTGGAATTTGGAGTCATATTTTTTATTGATTGATATAATTTTGTCAATAGTTATTTTATAGATTTGGTTTATAAGATATAATTTTGTGTTTATCTTGCAGATTCTTGGATTCATCACCGTTGATTTAATGCTGGAGAAATAAGCATTACTTGGTTTTAGCTCCACTTTGTAAGATGCATGTGAAATTTTTCATATTTTAAACTTGTTGATGAGGCACTGCAAGAATATTCAATAGGGTTTTCTGTAACTGCAAAGATCCCCCCCACTCCCCCAAAAAAATAAAAATAAAAATAAAATAAAATAAAATAAAATAAAATCCCTGAAATTAGAAACACAAATAGAAAGGCCCAAAAACCAGGAATATGGAAAAAGAAGGAAAAGCAGTGCCTCCAAAATATGTATGTATACATCAGACATTCAGACTAAACGTAAGAACACACTTTCCTTTTCACCCAAAAGGAATAAAAAAAATGTAGGATAATAGAGTGGGAAGGATCTCTTTCCATTGGTACATCGTTAACAAAAGACAATATAGTGGGTGCAATTGAAGGTGAAGTTTATAGTAATGTTTCTGGGCCAAATAATCACACATAATCAAAGTTCATTCATGGGATAAATATGAAAATAATTCTTTATTCAGATTCAGGATTTCTCATAAAATTTATTTGGAATTTTTAGATTTATATATAACTATATTACATTTATTCCAGGGATTGCAACGCATCTATACTGAGCATAAAATCAAATCGTCGAAGGTATCATCCTCATAAGCTCCCCTATCTACTCTATTTTTCTTGCTTAATGCTAGGGGAGAACAATTTAGTTATTATTATTTTTAATAAAATGTAGATTGATCTCAAACTTCTCCCTATTTACACAAAAACTGCTGGTGGACTTACAGGTTTTCCATTTAACCACTTAATTAACTTAGCATTATGTTTCTCATCATATTGCATAAACATGATTTTATGACTAAATTTTTGGTATAATAGATAAATGTGAGGCATTTATTATAAGCCAATAAAAGTTAAAGACTTAACTCTTGCTTCAGGTCTTTTGTTGACTCTAACCACTAGGTCCTGAAGGGTCACGTGACACACCAACTTTTAAGTTCTTTTTTTCTTGAATCACAAAATCAGATTTAGAATTAGGCATTTAGAGGCAGACAGAGACACCACTGTTGACAAAGTTTTGTAATATCAGTTTGAAGAAACCTTGGAAAAACCTGCTGCACAAGTTAAAACCATCCAGCAGAAGAGATATCGTTGACTTGAACACAAAATTGTTCATTGTCTTCGAGATGAATGTCCTAGATGGCTTCTATATTTTCTGCCATTCTTAGAAGATTGTAAAGAAAATAAAGAAGAAGAATCCAATTTCATAAAGAATTGCTGCCCTAATGAAATTATCCAGAAGTTTACTGTTCTTAATCCATTGCCACATGAGAACCTTGTAGAAGTGCAGCCCACTGTCATTGTTATCTATAAATATAGTAGTTGTATGTATTGTATGAGTATGGAAGGAAGAGTGTGAAATGGAAGACGCAGGGAAGCAAGGAGAAGTTTGTAAGAGAGAATGAGGGGGAAAATATAGGTGAGGCGTGAGTGTATTTTTGTGGTAGGCCAAGGTGCTTGCTTGAGTAAATTAATCGAAGTAGTCTTTTGGTGGTCTTATGTTATCCAATTAAATTGTGAACTATTTTTGATAATTAAATAACTTTATTTGTGATTTAAACTCAACATGGCCTACGAATTAAGTCGGACCTATTCCTCATCTCCAACCCAGACAAATAGTGCCAATCTAATTCAAAACATCTGCGTCCGCCACTGACTCTGACTGGCATAGGAGATGTAGGAGTTTCTCTTTTGATGTTTTGGTCAACTGTTGATGACGCAATTGGGAACCAAAGAGATCAAGACTTGGTGCCTACGTTCCAAGAATTTGGCCTTGTGGAGCTGTGTGCTTCAACAAATGAGTTTAGCAGCCATTTGATTAGAATAAGTATTGATTTCTTTCTTATTTTAGGAGAGTAGATTTTTTTCCTTATTTGCCAACTCTTGTACACTATAAATTGTAAACCCTCTCATCGTATAATCAATGATGAAATAAACAGTACAATTCATATTTCATTATGGTATCAGAGCCAAGTTGGTTTTAACCCAGTCAATACATGGCCGAATCAGGTCCTCACGACAGGAGCTCCATGACTTCTGACTCAGATGTAGAAGCCACGTTTGCCAAGAACACAGGGGGAATTGAAAACTCGGCCTTCGAACTCTCGATTGAGAAACTGAATGGGAAGAACGACAGAGAATGGGCACAATCAATAAAGCTAATAATCGACAAAAAAGGGAAACTCGGATACTTAACCGGAGAAACCAAGGTGCCGGCCTCAACTAACGTGGCTCTCCTTCAGAAGTGGAAGTCGGAGAACTCATGGTGATTGCCTGGCTTGTCAATTCCGTGAAGCCGAACATTGGAAAACATATTTATTTCACCCAACTGCAAAAGAGGTTTGGGAAGCAGTTAAAGAAATATATTCTGACTCCGAGAATTTTTCCAAAATTTTTGAAATCAAGTCGAAGCTATGGCAAACGAAGCAAGGAAATCGAGATGTGAGGGGTTATTACCTGGAAATGACTGGATTATGGCAAGAATTACACGAGTACTAAGGAAGAATGGAAGTGTGCAGAAGATAGCGTGCGGTATATAAAGAAATTGGAAATTGAAAGGGTGTTCGAGTTTCTCGCTGGACTTCATCGCGATCTAGATGATGTTCGCGGTCGAATACTTGGCCAGCGTCCCCTTCCCTTGCCGCGGGAAGTGTTTTCGAAGGTGAGAAGAGAAGAAGACCAACGGAAGGTCATGTTGAACGAGTCCAGTGCGCCGACGGTGGAAGTGTCGAGACTGACCTCCAACAAACTTGGGCCATCTGGATATGGGTTGAAAAATAGAGAAGGTAATAGGCCTATTGTTGGGCCAACTAATGGCAATAATGGGCCGGCTGATTTGAACAGTGGAATGGGCTTGAATATTGGACCAAATAACTTAAATGATGGAACTTGGATGATGGGCTTATATTCTAAGGGAGGCACATCTGGCCAGGCCCAAAACAAAGAGGTCGGCCGTGGTGTGAGCATTGTCGAAAGCCAGGACATAAAGAGGATACTTGTTGGGATTTACTGGGGAAACCGAGTGATTGGAAACCAAGACAAAATAATAAAAATCGTGGGTATCAAGCATCTGTTGATTACCAAACAGGAAAGACCGAGTCGAGCGATGCTAGAAATCTGAAAGTTAAAATCGCAGACCGCTCACTGTCATCGGTTGCAGGGAAAGGGAGTATAAAAATTTCTGACTCTATAACTCTAGAATCTGTTCTTCACATTCCAAAGCTGTCGTGTAATTTACTTTTCATAAGCCAATTGACAAAAACCTCAAATTGTTTTGTTAAATTTTTTCCATCTTACTGTGTTTTTTAGGACCTATCATCGAGGAAGACGATTGGCAGTGTTAAAAAAAAGTGACGGACTCTACTACTTTGACGAGGTTGATGTGGGTAAACAAAGTCAATTTACTATTTGTAATTCTACATCTGTTTCTAGCTATAGTGATATTTTGTTATGACATTTTAGAATGGGTCATCTTAACTTTGAGTATTTAAAACGTGTACTCCCATCAATTTTTATGAATAAAAATCCATTGATATTCAGTGCGAAATGTGTGAGTTTGCAAAATATCAACGTACATCATTCCCAACCTCATACAAACCATCCAAGCCATTTACTATGATACATAGTGACTTATGGGGTCCTTCACGAATTCCGAATCGAACTCATGCAAAGTGGTTTGTAACGTTCATTGACGATCACCCTCGAATTTGCTGGGTATACCTACTAAAAGATAAATAAGATGTTTGTTCTATATTCATCAACTTTTACTCTATGATCCAAACACAATTTCAAACACAGATTCAAATTTTACGTACGGATAATGTCACCGAATACTTCAATACCACCCTGGGTAATTTTCTCCAATTACATGGAATAATTCATCAAAGCTCTTTTATTGATTCTCCCCAACAGAATGGGATCACCGAACGCAAAAATAGACACATTCTAGAAGTTGCTCAAGCATTGATGTTCACTTCTAATATGCCAAAAATATTCTGGGGGGATGCAATTCTGACGTCAACCTACCTAATCAACAGAATGCCGAGTCGTACCTTAAATTTTGAATCTCCCTTAAAAAAAACTTCAAACTCTATTTCCTACCTCTCGTCTCAACTCCATCCTACCCTTACGGGTGTTTGGATGTACTGCCTTCGTTCATATTCATTCTCATTGCTGAGGTAAACTGGATCCTCGAGCTGTTAAATGTGTTCTGATCGGTTATTCCTCTACTCAAAAGGGCTACAAATGCTATGATCCTTCCCAAAAAAAAAAAACATTTGTAAGTCTTCATGTCACCTTCTTTGAAATGACCTCGTATTTCAATAAAACCTCTCTTCAGGAGGAGACATTGCATGAAGATCGGTTCCTAGACATTGATCTCATTTCTCCCGAACCTACATTTACCAACAACCCTATACCACCATCTAATATGCCATTAACAGAGAACAACTTACAGCCAGGGGGAGATATAGAAAAACAAAGTAATGAAGACTTGTTGGTTTACTCACGAAAGCCAAAATCAAAGTACAAAGAAACCATCACATTTGAAGCACTAAAAGAATCAGAATCGATGATGGCTTCTCAAGAAGCTTCAGATATTCCTGACTTACCCATTGCTCTCAGAAAAACTACTTGGTTATGTACTCTTCATCCTATTTCAAAATTCATGTCATATAATGCTTTATCTACTAAATTTCGTGCTTTTACATCTCATTTTAATAGCACAGAGATCCCAAAAGATATTGGAGAACCTTGGGAAGTCCTAAATGGAGGGAAGCAGTATTGGAGGAGATGAGGGCATTAGAGAAAAATGAGACTTGGGAGGTATTAGACCTACCGAAAGGAAAGAGACCAGTTGGGTGCAAATGGGCCTTCAATTTGAAATACAAAGTTGATGGGACAATAGAATGGTACAAAGCTTGTTTAGTTGCAAAAGGATACACACAAACATATGACATCGACTACACATAAATGTTTGCACTAGTAGCAAAATTGAATACAATCCGGGTCCTGTCCTTAGCAGCCAACTTAGATTGGCTACTTCAACAACTTGACATTAAAAATGCTTTCTTGAACGGAGAATTAGAAGAGGAAGTTTTCATGACTTTACCGCCTGGGTTCAGTAGAGCTGATGAAGAAAATAAAGTATGCAAACTTAATAAGTCTCTATATGGACTAAAACAGTCATCAAGGGCATGATTTGACAGATTCGTAAAGGTGTTAAAAGGTCATGGATATCGACAAGGGCAGTCAGATCATACTATCTTCTATCAACACTTCAACAGTGGAACCAAGACAATCTCAATTGTATATGTTGTTGATATTGTTCTAACAGGAGACAATGTAGTTGAAACTGACAGACTACAAAAATGCCTTGCCGCCAAATTCGAGGTGAAGGATCTGGGACAAATGCGATACTTCTTGGGAATGGAGGTTGCGAGATCAAAGGGTGGAATTAGTGTTTCACAACAAAAGTATGTCATTGATCTCCTAACAGAAACAAGGATGCTAGGTTGTAAACCGAGTGATACACCTATCGAAGCAGGAAAAAGACCTGAAGAGAATGGAAAGGAAGTGGAAAGAGATGGATACCAAAGACTGGTTGGAGAGTTAATATACTTATCACACACTAGACCTGATATTGCATTTGCAGTGAGCCGTGTAAGTCAACATATGCACTCACCAAAGGAAAGTCACCTGAAAGCAATCTATAAGATACTAAGATACCTCAAGGGAACCCCAGGAAGGGAACTGTCTTTTAAGAAAAGTGAAAAAAGGGAGATTGAAATCTTTACCGATGCAGATTGGGCAGATTTGATAGAAGACAGAAGATCAACTACTGGCTATTGCACCTATGTGTGGGGAAATCTTGTAACTTGGAGGAGTAAGAAACAAAATTTAGCTGCCAAAAGTAGCGCTGAAGCTGAATTCAAGGCTATAGCACCAGGAATATGTGAAGGGCTGTGGTTGAGAAAACTCCTAGAAGAATTGCATGTTAAAACCATCAAAATGTTTTGTGATAACAAGGTAGCAATCAATATCTCACTTTATCCAGTCCAACATGATCGTACTAAACATATAGAAGTTGACACACTTTATAAAGGAGAAAGTTGAGGAAGGAACCATTTGCATGACTTATGTTCCTACACAAGAGTAAGTTGCAGATATCTTTACTAAGGGACTACCTCGTCCAACCTTCAATGATTTCATATGCAAGTTGGACACGATTAACATCTATGATCCAATATAACAAGGTAGCAATCAATATCTCACTTTATCCAGTCCAACATGATCGTACTAAACATATAGAAGTTGACACACTTTATAAAGTAGAAAGTTGAGGAAGGAACCATTTGCATGACTTATGTTCCTACACAAGAGTAAGTTGCAGATATCTTTACTAAGGGACTACCTCGTCCAACCTTCAATGATTTCATATGCAAGTTGGACACGATTAACATCTATGATCCAACTTGAGAGGGAGTGTGGAAACCGGATCCTATCAAATAAAGATAGGAACGAAATTGATTGTAGAATATTTACATTCCATAATTGGTGTGATGTAGAATAAGTATTGATTTCTTTCTTATTTTAGGAGAGTAGATTTTTTTCTTTATTTGCCAACTCTTGTACACTATAAATTGTAAACCCTCTTATTGTATAATCAATTATGAAATAAACAGTACAATCCCCAATTTAGATATTAGTTTGTGAATTCTATCGTACGTCCCCCGAGCCAAGTTCAGATCCTTCTTCTATTCTTTTCCGGCGCAGTTGGGCATAGGAGAAAAGCTCAAGGAAAATGGAAAATCTAACTTGAGAATCATTTTGGCTTCATGTTTCCAAATTTTTGCAATGATGCCAAGTTTTCTTTATTCCTCCTCAAGGTCTACTTCCTCAAAATAAGTCTGTAAGAGTTGACTGATTTCACTTAATGATTCTGCTTGATTTGATTTCGTGAAGTTTTGCATTCATCTGCGTAATGCTAATCGCTCTAAAATGGGAAGTGGTCTATTGGTCTTTGATGTTCAACTATGTCAATCAAATTTTTTGTCAATGTATAGGAAAGTTGTAGCTATAAATTAAGCTTTTGGGTTTCTGGAGGAAAAAAGAAAAGAAAAAAATCATCTTTGGTCATTTAAATGTGAAATTCTGGTGTTTCTTTGATAAAAGAAGGTATTAAGGTGTCAATGCGTAGGAAAATTGAAGCTATAAGTTAGGATGGCATAATTGTATGTGTCCACTACGAGCTTGTCAGCTGTAAATCCAATGATGATATTTTTTCCATTTATTTGTTTGTTTATGGACCACTAAATTGTCATCCTCAGCCACATTTTTGATTATTGAACGGATTGCAATCTTTTATTGAAACCAGTATTCCATTACATGGTGTAAAATTGTTCTGTTTCTCAATTTGTGAAGATCTTTCCTCTCAATGAGAAGATTGAGAATATAAATGATTAATACTGGATATTGTGGGCTGAAGAAGTGAGCTCTTCTGCTTTCAAAATCTCCTTGCACTTATTGCCTGGTCCATTGTTTCATGCACATACAGTTTTATCTTTAATTTAAAACCTGTGTTAAAAGTTTCATAATTGCTCTTTATGTTTAGCTTGGCAACATATTTGTGTATTATTTTGGAAATTGTTTCAGTTTGTCCTTATATTTTGGAAATTGGTTTTTAGGTTTCTTGAAGTAAGAATGTTTATTTCCTGGACCATGTTTTCTAATCCGTTACTTTTGTTTTGCTGATAATTATAGAACTGACACACGTTTGAAAAGCCTGTTAAAATATACAATTAAGCCCCTGTTTGACAATCATTATATTCATTTTTAACTACACATTTACACGATAAAATATTTTGCATGTAAACTCAGCTTTTTCTTATTTTTAAGCCTCACATTCTCCTAAAAATAATTATTCAAAACATTATTTTCCCAAATAATGATCATCAAACAGGGTCTAAGAAGAATGCTGTTTGGATATGTTTGCTCTTGATGCAATGTTGAAAATGTAAAAAATTGGAATTCTGTGATACTGAATGTAGAATGAAAGGCAGAAAACGATTTTGTTAGGTTTTGGGTACTAACTTGGATGGAAAACTTCACCAAGCAGGTTTTGTTAGATCTCTCCGGTGATTTCTCCTCGATGTTAGGTTCTTGGGCTGCTGACGATCTTTATTTTTTTGGGTGTTGGAGACATTTTTCTTGGAGCCTCCAGTCTCGAGGCTTTCAGTGAATTTTGTTTGGCTATTGACGAATTCTTGGGATCTTCAGTGAATTCCTTGGTGGGATCGGAAGGGATATCGGAGATATGGCGACAATAATTTTGGTAGGTGTCGTGAGTAATTGGTGTTTTGTTGGGCAGTTGGTTTGATTGGACTTATCCTCGAATTGGATGTTTTGTTGGGTTGTTGGTTTTGATTGGGTTTTTTTCTTGAATTGGGGCTGTCAATTAATTGGCTATTTAATTATTTGATTGGGTTGTTAATTTATTTGGTCCGTTTGGCTGTGGGCTGTTATTGAATTGGATTGAAATTGGCTGTCAGTTTAGTTGGGCTGTTGGCTATAATTATTAGATTTTGAGCTATCATGTTTGGGAGAAAATTCAGTTGTCTGCTTTAATGGCAAAAACTACATTTGAGAATTTCAGTTCAAGATGCTCGTTAAGGGTAAGGAATTGTGGGGTCATATGGATGGATCGTTTCAAGCTCCAATAGATTCCAGGGAGCTTAGTTTATGGGAGAGTAAGGATGCTCGAATTGTTTCTTGGCTATTGAGTTCCATTGAACCATATATGGTCAACAATTTTCGTTCGCTCACGACCGCTAAAGAGATGTGCGATTCCCTTAGACGGATTTATGATCAAGATAATTCTGCACGGAAGGTTCAATTGTAGTTGAATATTGGAAATTATTGACAAGGAGATCTATCAATTGAAAAGTTTTATTTAATTTATGGAATGATTATTTTGGGTCGTGTGGTCCAAGGTTCCTAAAGAAGCATTAGCAACTTTGCAAAAGATTCATTTTGAGAGCCAAAGGGATCAATCCTTGATGAAGCTACGACATGAGTTTGAAAGTGCACGCACTAGACTGATCAATCGCAACATTGTACCATCCTTGGATGTTTGCCTGGGAGAATTCCTATGTGAGGAACAACGCCACACTTCTCAACTTGGGATCAGTGAAGCCACCGTTAGTACTAAGATGGTCAATGTGGCCTATGTAGCTCAAGGGAAAGGAAAATCCAAATATTCGCTACAGTGTTACAGTTGCAAGGAATTTGGACACATTGCAAAATATTGTAACAAGAAAATCTTTAATTATTGCAAAAAGGAGGGCCATATTATGAAGGACTATCATGTGTGACCTTGGAATTGGTCTGCTCCCGCTTTCCATACTACTGTTCAACCCAACCGTGTGACTGCATCTTCAGACCAGTTGGGTGCCCAAGATCTTCAACTCTCACACCCGAACATGTTCAACAAATGATTATTTCACTCTCTCGGCCCTTGGTCTCCAAAGTAAAAAAAATCTAGTCACCTCTCCTTGTTTAATAGACTCTACGGCTTCCAATCACATGACTGGGAATTCAGGAGCTCTACATAATGTTTGTAAGTATGATGGTAAGCAATTATCCAGATAACCACTGGTAGTACTCTTCCTATTATTGCAGTTGAAAATTTGAGGTCTTCTTTTACTGATATTTTTTTATCGCCTAATTTATCTACCAATCTAATTTCTTTTGGCTAATTGGTGGATGATAATTGTGCTCTTTATTTTGATCATGACGGGTGTTGTGTGTAGGATCAAGCGTCGGGACAGGTAATAGCGAAGGAGCCTAAAATGGGACTTCTCTTTCCAAGAATAGGAGATTTCATTGTAATTTACCATAATTAGATAGCTATAATTCTTCTATATAAAGGATACATGGAACCTCAATTGAGGCATTTGAAGGAAATCAAACTCAACACAATATGCGTAATAAACTTCCTATTTTTACCAGTATTTACATCAGATTTAATGGTAAGAATACACTATATAAGAGATTATACTTCTGATCCTAATGGTTGTATGGTAGTGGTTTAATTACTATACCTTTTAATCTTCTGGAGATAAGAAATCAAAGAGACTCTACAGCCAATTATTTCCAGGATGCACTATGATAAATATTATGTTCCAATGTACTTTTTCCAAGTAGGATGAGTTCTTTACTATGAAATTCTCAGTCCGATTTTATCTGGGGGTGGTGCTAACTCTTTCTTTGATCTTAATTGTCCCATTATGTTGGTTGGATATAAATATAGGAGGAAAACTTTGGTTGGAACTCATGTAATTTATTTAACCATTTGATATGTGATCTTAACTTAAATTATCTCATAAAAAAATCTGCTTAAAGTTTAACCCTATGTATTATAATGCTTTAATTCTATTTATGATTAAGTAGGCCAAAGCATGAAATTACTTTCTCGATAGATGCCAAGCCAAAGCTTTTAAGTCAGGTAATTGGTTTTCTCACTTATTTGATACCCCGTCTACCATGATCATCTAATGATTATTTGCTTACACAAACTGGTGCCTATTCTTTTGGTTATTGAATGATAACAGCCTTTATTGGTTTGTCTTCACCATCTAAACTTTAGATGGGAGTCAAAATAACTTCTACATTGGGCATCAAGTGGTTTTCTATAAGAATTTTACTATTCTTGGTAAAGAGAGAGACTATGAGATGAAGCCTTTTATTTTTTCCTTGATAGTGTACTCTCCATTGCTTTTTAGGCTGCAAGATTAAATCTGCTTGCCATTCACAATATATATTGTTAAATGGATCTGAAATTCTACTGTTCTGATACAGTAATATAAGAGATTACTTGATTTCTTGCCCATTGCATCTGTGAAATGAACATCGTCCCAGTTAGATGTTTCAGGGAAGTCACATAAGAGCTGCGAGTTGAAGTCGAACGACTTTCAACAAATTTCCAGCATGTCTGGTACTTCGTTGGATTTATTAGTTGTTAGCCATGCATATCCAGTTGTCGAAAAATTTTGATGTACATGTTCATTTTTCCTTCTAATTTTTGGGAAATACATTTGTGAACGTGCTGAGTTTATTAAAATAATGTACATAAAGGAATGTATGGAATCTAATTCTCCAAAACTTGCGTTTACTGCAATATTTTTTGAACTACTAATGTGATAAACTTCTTAAATCATTGGTAAGTTAAAAAAATGGAAAGGATTCTATAATAAATGAAGAAAAAAAGGGATCGATATCTACCTTAGTTTCAAAGTCAAAATTGATGAATTGTTCACCCCGTAGGTCGGGAGAGAAGTTTGCGACTGGATGAACAATCTTTTTGCACAAATTGCTAGCACTTTCAGCGATAGCCGGAGTCATTTTGATTATCTTCTGGTAAATGAAGAAGATAGAAGAATTTATGTTGAAACTACTGAGAATATAGCTCAAGTTGATAATGCTGATAATGTACCAAAGAAATACCTGTATTTATAGTAGAGCTGAACAGGTGACTTGAATGGCAAGATTTCTTTGACAGGGGATCATTTTTTACTCCTACTGTAGAGGATGGATTAGAGTATGGATTGGCATCCCCGTTTGACCCACATTAATTTAAGAATGAGAATGATAAATATACTCGTTATGGGTTTCACATAAAAGATAAAAAGTTAAATTTGGTGATTTGATATAATAGATAATGATCATATTTTTCATTTTAATGGACAAATAATGGGAAAGAAACAGAGGCAATATTCTATCATTCTCTATTTTTATAATGGCATAGAAAGGAATTTTAAAATGTTTATTTGGGGCTTGCAAAGATTTCCCCCGAGCTAAAGTGTTCTTTTCAAGAATTGGAAGTCCTAAAAATATTAAAATAAAAGTTTTATAAAAATAAATTAACATTAAGAAACATTTCGAATATTATTAAAACTGCATAATTAATTAAATTGATAAAATTATGGTTTGAATATACAAATATGAAAAAAATAAAAATTATCAACTCTTGACAATAGATTTGGGATGTAGTTATGAATTTTGGCTGCATTGGACATTGGATTTGTTTGAAGTGGAATGAGATAATTGAGATCAATATCTCGTTATTTTTAGAACGCAAGTTAAGAATACTTTGAACATTTAAAAAATACAAAATCAATATAACACAAAAGGAAAACTTCATGTTAGTCATTTTTCGGTTATGTAATTACGGTCTTTGTTGGCCGTTGTTCCAGTCGAGCATTCAAACCTGCAAATCATCACCTCCGTGATGTACTCAAATCCGCGAGAGTGGCAAGGCCTGAGAGGGGAACCCTACATGCTTTTACTTGATTTATTTTAAGAAAATTTTATTGGGAAAATAGAAAGTAAAGAATGTATAATAATAAAATACAAACAGTTTTACACTAAAAGATGGATAAGAGTAAAATAATTTTAAAAATCACAAACCAAAAGTCTTACTCGAATACAATTTAATATTATGTTCGGCAAGTGTTTATATACATATAAAAATAAGTGGATGAATTAGTTGATAGTAATTTGAGTTCCACGGATTAGGTGAATAAAAAATTATTTAATTTTGACAAGAATTTATAATATGTCATAAAAGCATGAGGAGGAAAATTCTTTCACGGTGTATAAAAAGGAATTTAAGGATTCAAGACAAGAAATAATAAACAGCCAACCTTCTTTGAATGTAATTTCCTATCATATTTGAGCAACCGCAAGAATTTTAAGCCTATCGTTATTTATCATCAAGCCACCATATTTGACTTCTTATCTTTTGTGTGGAGTCCATAACGACTATATTTTTCATTCTCATTTTTACAATAACGTGGCTCAAACGGGGGCTTAATATAGCAATGGCGTAAGTACGGAATGAAAACAGTTGTGGGGCTAAGGCCTACTGCTCTTTTTCGTCGATATAACGTTCGTAATAATAAATATTTATTTCGTCTATTTATTCTAAAATGTTATAAAATTATAAGATAAATATTGATGATTATGTAATCTTATCATTATGCATTGATAAGTCTTATCTAATTTGGAGAGTTTATTTCATTCCAATTGTAACTTTAATTTTGATCCATCTCTTGATTGTCAATAAAACACACTTGAGTTTTGAATCTTATACTCTTCTCTTTTCTCTCCAGTAACCTAGTTTACAACACTTCATCAACATGATTTTATCAAAATCAAAGTGAAATATTTAGAAGCTTGACGTACTCCATCAGCCACCAATCATATTCGGTAAATTGCCATCACGACCATGACATTCACATTATTTTTTCTTCACCTCAAATTCGACGCATCCACCCCCAAATTCTTGGGCAAAACCATATCCGAAATTTGTAGAATATCTACCGTACGTCCAATACTTGGCTTGTACTCCTTATCAAATTCAAATGAATTTGGGTGTTTCTTATGGTGATATATACAATTTTGGTCAATCTATGAAATCCTCATCATGCATTACTAAAGTCCAAACTAATTAAGGCTGCTTCTGTACACATCCTGTTTACATTTTTATTTTTTTATCGTTTAATATCAATTTTATTTTTTTGATCAAGCATTCTGATATTAGATAAAATTAGTTTTGTGATATTGAAAATTAAGAGTAAATATGCATAGTTTTAACTAAAGCCTCCCTATTAAATATATTATAATATATATTTTTTATAGTGGTTAATTTAAGTAATTATTAGGCCTTTTTATATTGGTTTCATGCATGTATTCTTTGCTTTATGAGTGATGAAAAAATATGTTTATAATGATTCTTGAATATGTTTATGTCTGTAATTTGATTAAATATTTTTTATAAACTATAAATTCATAATTTATAACATTATTGCTTTTGAAGAAACACAACTTTTCAAATATTAATATTCTACCAGAAAACATAACCTTTAAGAGTTAATATTTTAAAATAATAATTTATTGGTGTTGCTGAAGAGCATAACATTATTAATATTCTAAAAGAATATTATTACTATTGATAAATATTTTAGTTAAATTTCACTTGCTTCCAAAGAGTATAATTAAATAAGATCTAACATAAATTATATTTTTACTTTTGAAGAGTAAATCCTTGTATAATTTATTATAATCACATTTGATTGTTCCTAAAGAGATGAATTACAATCTTCAATATTTCAGAATATTGACACATTTTTTTTTGAAAGAGTAATAAATAAATACAACGTGCTCTCAAAGTAGCACGTGTTTTGAAAAATATATCATTTTAAATCCACGTTTATTCCTGATGAGGACATTGGTTATTTTGACTAGATTTGATACAAATATGAAATACTAAATGATTGTATGATGCTCGCAACCTAAAATTTGTGAAATTCTACTCAAATTATGAGCATAATTTTTAGATTATACAATTAAGATGGTGTGTCATGTTAATACTAGAGATCCTAAACAAGTGTTAGTTAAGATGCCAATAAATAGCTTAACACTATTGTCCATTAAACTCCTTCAATTAATTTAATTGATAACAAAGTACTATCCAATTCTGTTTTGAGAATGTTATTTATGCATCATGCCAACATCAAGTTCTCTATATTATAATTGGCTTATGGTAATAGCCTGATTTCTTCATCTAATTATTTGATAATGCAATATATGTACAATTAATCCATCAAATTGCATTGAGATGAAAAGTAAAGAATACTGAGAAGAAATATGTATTTTGAACTCTTTATCTCAAATGTGTGATATTTAATAAAGCAATTTACTGATTGTCAATTTTGATTAGAAAATTCTCTCAGCATTACAGGGAAGAATTAAGGAGTTAGAAAAAATGTACAAATGTATCATTATCTAAATCCTTGCAAAAAATAATTTGAACCTGAAATTCAAAAGATAATATATTTACATGTATTTATTGATCAAAGATTTCAATAATATCTCACATGTCAGTTTTAAATTCTCCAACTAGAATTAACGTCCTAGAGGACAATTAAGTGATATGATATTTGATGGTACGCCTAAAGCATGATGATTTTCGATTATAATATAAAAATCTCCAAACGTATGTAAAGCAAT